GAATTTAAAACAGTGCCTAGCACAGAATAGTAGGCCCCTTGGAAATTAGGTGTTGTAAAGCATAATGCTTTGGAAAAGCTGAAGTAAATTGGAGGCTATAAAAAAATTTTATGATATTAAAATGTAAAGCAGAAGATAAGTTAAAGCAATTCCAGTTGAGGAGTTATGCCTGTTAATCTGTAGCATAAGCTCAAATTTGTAGTTGAAAACAATTTTCTGAAACTTGACTAGGCTGGTTTCTGTGTTATTAGGGGCAGGAACACCTCTCTGTTTAAAGTGGTTTTCTTTTTAATAAGGTTTAACCATAATTGTCCAGTTTTTGCTGGTTCAAAATATTTCCACCTCAGGTTGGTCAACTATTGTTTGCTTAATCTCAGTTCCTACCAGCATTCAACTGAAACGCTGCTTTAAGCTTGACTTTCAGTGAATCACGTTTGTACAATAACAGATCTGTTTGTTAAATGAACTTAAAGACAGAAATAAATGAGCCAGTATTCAGGGTGAGTCACCTTCTGTCCATCTAGAACAATCTTTCTCTCTCTCTAAACTGTATGATCTTAATCAAAAGGAATATTTTCACAAAGTAGTATACCTCTAAGATGTGCATCAGTAAGATCCCAGTTTTTGTGTCACTGACTCTGCTTGTTCCTATTTAAACAAATAGCAAATTCCACGAGAAATCCCATAGCTCTTTCTTGTTTCAGCATTTCTATTAGTTTTGACATATTAATCGATTCCTTTGGCTACATGTGAACAAGCAATGATGATTTGGACTTGTATCATCTTATGCTGATGTAGTAAAGATGACAATGGAGTATTTTTCAAATATCAGTCACATACTTTCTATCTTTTTTTTTTTTTTTTTAGTAAGTATGTTTGCTAGTCTCTCTTGTATGCTAGCTTTTCTCGCAGTTGCTTGCCTTTTTGTCCTTCCTGCTCTTAAATCCCTCAGTTACACTAGGCTGGTGGAAATTGTTTAAATGTACAACCCACATTCTCCAGTGAGGTTTGGCTAACCAACAAGCTATTCAAGTGGTTTTGTCTCCCGGGTATGTCTTCATCCTCTGCTTTTCCAGGTTGCTTGAATATCCTTGAACCCATAATTTACCCTAATCTCCTCTAAGGCTTTGAAATAATAAAATACTTAAATAAAACTCTTTGGATAAATGCCCTTTAAAATACAGCTTTATCTGTGAACTATCATGCTCTCAAGGGAGTGGATTTTGTTCCTCAAATGATTAAGGGGATTTTCTGTCCACTGTGTCACTGTGGTTTGTCCACTGTGATCAGACATACCCATCTTAACTCCTGCAACAACTCAAAACAGAAAAGATGAGGAAAGTCTGGGACAAAAATGGGACAGAGGCTAGACTGTTGCTGTGTGTGATTTTTTTTTTTCTGGTGCCTGGGTTCAGTTCTCTGATCTACCACATGATTTTTTGTGGGTCACGAAGCCTTCCTGTGCTTTTGAAAAATAATTCTCTGCTCAACAGGGATGTTGCTAAGGATAAATTAAGGGTGGCAAAGTGCCTTGCCATTACAGAGGGGTAGTCTTATACACACAGAAAGGCTGTACTCAGATCCTTACTTCACAAAATAGGAAGAAGGGGATCACTTGACTTACCATCGCCAAATCCACAGGGGAAGTCTGAAGCAGAGCAGGGGACTGGATCCAATTTTTCTGCCAGAGGCCCCATGTAGTCCATTTTTCCTTGAAAAGTCCTTTTCACAGTCCTAGCAAGGCAGATGCCTCCCAGGCAAGAAAGGGAGGATTAGACCTCATCTGGGCCCCCTGTGTTGCAGCTCATCAGGGCAGCAGGGCAGGCCCTGGAGACCAACATGATTTGGAGATTTGTCAGTCATAGAAGCCTGTCTTCACTATTGCTCATTTTGCAGGTAAAGGGAGATGATTTCAATTTTCCTCCCTTCCCACTCAGCTCAGCTAATTATTAATTTCTGTCAGCAAGAAGGATCTAGAAAGTAGCACCAAAATGCGCAGAACAGGAACATCTCTTCTCCACTTCTGGAGCTCTATAGCTAAATTCCAGGGAGAAAGATTTGGGGTTTGTGTGTAATTTGTGAGTAATTTGCAAGTAATTTCCTTCTGATGCTAATTATTATTAAAAATGAAAAATTGCTCAATAATGTTGGGAGAAGGAAGTTTTCCTTTTTATGTTACTGTGTGTGGCACTATAATCTAAAAATTCTGGTCAAAATCCAATCATATGACCTATTTTAAAGTGATACCTTTGAGATTGTCTATCCATTTTCAGTCATACTCTTCAGAAACACGTCTGTATTTCTTCACGTTAAGTGACAGTAAATGCAAATAGACCACAGTTTAAGTATGAAGATTGTGGAGATTTATGACTCTATACATATTTTGTGTAATAAAATGCAGGAAAACTATACGTAGCAAATGTTTTCTGATTTTTCTAGCTTGTGGTACAAGATTCCTGCTCAAATGCTACCTTTGTTCTCTTTTTTTGCTTTAAATTTCCCTCCTAGTAGTCTCAGTTTTGAATCTGAAGTTCAAAATTTTCTGTACCCAAGGTTTATGATGATGAAGTAGCATCCGTGAAACTAGTGTTTCAGCTGGGTGAAGACCTTTTCTCAGGTGCCTCTTAATGCTCAGGAGAATGATTATCTCCTGGTAGCTATGTGCCTTGCTTAATTTTGTGATTATTCAGAAACAGCAAAAGGATAGAGGAATTAATCTGAGAATTTATTGAGTTCACCTCCTCCCTAGTCCCTGTTTTTCGGCAGCTCAGAAGACAAAGTACTGTCTGTGTTTTTGTCTGTGTTTTTGGCTGACATGCAGTGACATCAGAACTGATTAGTTTTTTGGCAGCATGTTTCAGATTGAGCAGCTTCTGCTTTCCACAGTGCCAAAGATGATGCCAAACTCATGAGCCTTGCCTGCAGTCTTGGGGGATGGAGGGATGAACAGTTAGACCAAATTCAGTGTGGCTTCGTAACAAAACTAGAAAGTGGAACATCTGTTGAAATTCATAATGGAAACAACCTAAATTACTTCTGTCAGTCTATACCCACTCACTGTCTTCTGGAGGAGAGATGGAATTTCTGAGAAAAGGACGTGTGTTGCAATGGGCAGAACTGACAGGGTTTCAATAGAAGGGCCCTTGCAGGGCTCTCCAGTGTGAGAGGAGGACACGAACTGCCCTGTACAGGTCCAGAAAAGAAATACCGTAGCCCACAGGTAACCCACACCAGTGCAAGGACAGCCCGCAGGGACTGTGGCCCATGGGCAACCCATGCTGGGGCAGCAACACCCCTGAGGGTTTGCAGACATGAGAAACACATGCCAGGGCTCAGACCGTGCTCAAAACAGCAGTCAGAAGTTTTTGTTAGTTGGTAACAAATTAAATAAAATTATTTGGCTCAAGACTCCTTTGCACACAGCACACAACCCGATTCAGGTTTTGTCTTTTCTGCTCTCCCACGATGGGGTAATTTGGAATGACAGCTGAGCCTCATAGAATCATAGAGTCATTTAGGTTGGAAAAGACCTTTAAAATCATTGAGTCCTACCATAAACCTAACACTGCCAAGTGCACCACTAAACCATGTCCCTAAGCATCACATCTACATGTCTTTTAAGCACCTCCAGGGATGGTAACTCCACCACTTCCCTGAGCAGCCTGTTCCAATGCTTGACAACCCTTTCAGTGAAGAAATTTTTCCTAACAACTAATCTAAGCCTCCCATGGTGCAAATTGAGGCCATTTCCTTTCATCTTATCACTTGTTACTTGTGAAAAGAGACTGGTACCCACCTCACTACAACCTCTTTTCAGGTAGTTGTAGAGAGTGATAAGGTCTCCCCTCAGCCTCTTTTTCTACAAGGTAAACAGCCCCAGTTTCCTCAGCCACTCCTCATAAGACTTGTTCTCTAAACCCTTCACCAACTTGTTGCTCTTCTTTGGATGTGCTCCAGCACCTCCATGTCTTTCTTGTAGTGAGGGCCCCAAAACTGAATGCAGTATGTGAGGTGGGGCCTCACCAATGCCGAGTACAGGGGGACGATCACTTCCCTAGTCCTGCTGGCTATGCTATTTCCGAAACAAGCCAGGGTGCTATTGGTCTTCTTGGCCCCCTGGGCACACTGCTGGCTCATATTCAGGCTGCTGTTGACCAACACCCCCAGGTCCTTTTCTGCAGGGCAGCCTTCCAGCCACTGTCCCCCAAGCCTGTAGTGTTGCATGGGGTTGTTGTGACCCAAGTGCAGGACTCCATCGTGGATGTTATAAGAATGGTCTCACTGGAAAAACAGCAAGATTATAATGTTTCCCTCTTCTATGTTGGCATGTATTTTTATAGTCAAGCATAGGCACAAATACAAATGTTTCTATAAAGTATACTTGAAATTTATATTTTGTTGAGAAGTCTTTAGGTTTTGAATATAAGCATTGCAAGAATAAATGATCTGTTGTGTTTCATAAGATGCATCATAAGATTCTCCTACCTCGCTCATTTTCTCTTTAGACCTCTTGCACTGAGGCCATTGAAGATATAATGGGTATAATCTTAGATGAGTACTGATGTTAAAAATCCTATTTGAATCTTAGGACAGACTTTTTATCTTGTTATTGTAGACTAGTTAATGCACAGCTAATAAAATAGACAATTTTCCATTGCTGTTTCATTTCTGTTGTGAAGAATATTTCTGCCACCACCATTTTTGCTCAAAAGACTCCAAGACACTCTTTTCAGGTTCATAATGGTTGAAGGAGATTCAGAATTTCCTAATTGCGATAGTGGACTTAGTGTGCTACAAAAATGTTGCAATCACTACCATTTCAAAGCAGCAGCTGAATAACACCAGATATAATGACTCAGCTGGTATTTAAATAGGCTAAAAAGGCAGAGCTTTCTTTTCATTTTTGGGTAATATTTGTATGTCTCCCTTGGGGAAGGGGATCACAGAGCAGTTTTCGTATGAGAATAACATTCCTACAACATTAATTTATTTTTTTCTAGTTTTTGAGAGTGGACCAAGACAAAGACAGAGAATGCAGCCTGGACTGTGCAGGTTCCCCTCAGAAATCACTCTGTGCATCTGATGGAAGAACTTTTCTGTCCCGGTGTGAATTTCAACGAGCAAAATGCAAAGACCCTCAGCTGGAAATAGCCTACCGGGGAAACTGCAAAGGTGAGCAAATCAAAGTTTCTCTCGATCATAATGAAAAATAATAGACTTTGAATAGTTTTTGAAGTATTGAAAGCTAGGAGTGCTGTACTTGAAGAGCTTTCTAAAAGCAAGTAGGTTGAAATTCATCCCATTAATTCTATAACAATATGCTACATAAAGATAAATTAATCTTCATCCGTGCACAGAAATATGACTTCCCAACTCATTTACACTATAGTAAGTCACTATTAAGAAAATTGCAATTTTAGGTCCTTGTTCTGAAGAACCATATCATTGGCAGACTGAGTAATTCTTAAGATTATCTCCCAAGGTTTCTTGTCTAATGCAGTTTGGTATTTTGACTTAGAGATGGTCAAATTCAGTCTTGTGTTTCCTAACTGCAATCATTTAGTTAGGGGGGTGGGAAAAAGAAAAAAAAAAAAAATTTTGTAATGCTTAGAGCCCTCACAGGCCATTCCTTCCTATGTCATCCACTCTTTTACTTCTGATCTCTGTTTAGAGAAACTGTGCAACATGCAACCCTAGCACTTCAGTTCCAATACTTATAAAGTATTCACAGTTAAATCTTTTCACTTTTAGAGTAGCTGGGTGCTAGAGAATGCAACTCCTCTACTGAAGTGTAGAGTGATACCCAACACAACGATCTTATTTCTAAAATGTAAGAATAGCAGTGGTCATAAAGGTTTACTTTCCCTTTCTCTCTGTCCAAAAGAGGGGGGAAGGGGGGAAAGAAAACCCCAGGGACCACACCGATTCAACCTCTAGGAGGCAATTTTCCACATCATCTCTCTCCATTAGCTCCAGCAAACCTCTGAAGCATCAAGACTGCTTCAAAGAGACATTCTGTCTCATCTTCTGCCTAGATGAAACACTACGCTCATTCTTCAGTCCTTTCATAATAAGCCATTGTATTAGCTGATGGATCTATTTACTTTTGCAAACAGGGATAACATAATGAAGCTACCTGAGCCAAAGCTTTTGTTACACTCATGAACGACAGAGAGAATTATTGTGCCCTTTGTATTTGTTCATTTTATACATTAGAGCATTATACGCTTTTATGGAAATTAGTTTTGAGCATTTTTCTTTATTGTTTTTTCCTCTTACCGTATTGACAATGTCATCTGCAATAAATTTTTTCCATAAAGATGTGTTGAATTGCCCTACTGAAGGTGTCCTCAGCGATGCTGGCAAATTTTTCAGCAGTCAGTAACTACAACTTGGAGAAGTGCTCATTTGCTGTTTATTAATTAATGAATAGTGTGTCAGTACAATTGTAAACTCGGAATTAGACACCTTAGGCATCTTAGGTATTGCTAATAGCAAGTACACATCATGCTCTCATCAATCAGATGTTTTTAATCTTTCAATTAAATGAATGCAAACTTCACTCTAATGTTTAAATATTTTTTCCTTTGATTAACAATAGACACATGATTGCCAATAATATGTTTGGTCAATATCAGCAAGAGATCAATGCACTTTTAAATTTTACATTTTCATAGTATTTTTTATTCAATCAAAGCAGTCTTAAATTTTGAAGTGACCAGTGTCTTTATTTCTACCCATGGCTGCAATCATGAGAAATATTTCAAGCTTTGAAAACAAGTTTTGGAGAAGAAAAAGGCAATTCATTGGCCTAGCTGCAGTTTCAGTTTTAGCGTTGCTAGAGCTACTTTTGATAGACCCATTAAAAATTCTTCTGAAAAAGTTAAGGAAGTCCTCAGATTAAGACCTCTTCTGAGCTACTTGCTTGTGAGTGGTAAACTTTGTTGTTGTAGATGATGCTTGACCAAAGAACAGAGGGTTGTTTTAGTGAGGCTAACTAAAAAGTGGTGGTTCTATTTCAGGTCAACTTTCAATGTTTCAGAATTTACTTTCAGTCCAACATGGAATGAAAACAAATCCATTTGGAAGTGTTCATCTATCCCCCTAAAAAAACAGATACCCTATCTCACCCCCACTCCCCATTAAAGCATTGTTTTTGAAGCAAGTTTTGAGGTTGCTAATATGGGAAAAAGGTAAACATGCATGTTTGCATGTGAAAGTTATGAAGGGAGAAAAGAGATGATTCCTGGTGTAGGATTCACAGATTTAAATCTGTGTCTGATATTCATCCATCATTGATCAGAAAAGACATAAATCTGTGTCTGTCTCCTCATGTCTTCTCAGGCAAAAATTACTGTTCACCTCACAAAAACCTTGTCTGAAAATTAAATACTTCCAGGTACCATTTTAATTAGTTGAAAATATGGTGACCAGCTTTTTGTATGGTTTAGTCTATTCACTAGAAATCTAAACACCTTGAAGTTTATGTCTACAACCTTTTGGAATAATTTTGATTCCATCATTTCTTGTTTATATATTCAGAACTGTGATTTCTTTCACATCCATAAGGGAGTTTGAACCACTGCCAGATCAATGGATGCTTTCTCCGTGTCTTTTTTCCTCAGAAAGCCAAATTTAGATTGACTATCTTTTCTTCTCCTCACCTATTTTCAACATTTGTCTCCTCTATCTTGTTTTACCACTTAAATACCAAAATTACAAAGGGCTAGTTTGCTTTAAATATGCTTTCTTTCCTTTTTTAATTCAAGTTTCATTCACAGCAACAGTGCTCAGCCCAGGTAATTCTTCAGCGTTGCAAAAGAAAACATTTTTAGATCTTGGATCTTGAAAGTAAATAATAGAAAACTGATGGAATTTGAACCATTTTCTTTTCTTGCACTCCTGTCCTTCTAGTTCTTGATGGCTGCAGTAGAGATCTAAATAGCTTAAGCTAACCCAAAAATGAATGAACCCCGAACCTTCCTGTCAGTTCTGAAAAACAGCTCATCTTTGACAAAATAAACATCAAAATAGACTGTTCTAATAGTAGGTTTTTCTGTAGATATTACAAAGTTTTGTAATATTTTTCTTTTTTTTTTTTTTTTTGCTAAGCTTGGAAATGCTATAAGAAGTTACAACCTCATAAAATTTCCAGCCTGCTTTTTCAGTTTCAAAGGTCTCAAATAATCTGTGTACTGTGTAGATGAATATCCACATTTTTGGATACTTTTCCAAACAAAATCTAAACTCTGAAGTTCTGCAGATTTGCCACTTGCTTGATGCAGATGTTTACTGTGCAACAAAATTCTGAATCTAATAAATAAATGTATTTGGGCAGATGAAAAATATTATTTGTATTATGGGGACTGTTACAATATCACCTGTGATGGGGATCCACTACACGCACACACAGATGCTTCATAGTACACCTGGCCCAGCACAGTCAAAGAAACAAAACATGCAGTAAGTGGAAAAGCAATATGGTTGCTTTTAAACTGGTCAGAAAGACACAGAGGCTATGTGTACACTAATTAAGTAAACAGTGCCAGGACACAGTATGACTGCCTGCACAGGTAAGCTGGTAGAGTGCTCCTTGTTGCACTGCGAGCACAGGCCAGCTAGCACTTTCCTGAGGACCGTATCTACAGGGGTTGGGGGTTCAATGGTCCAGGGCCTGTTCCCAGTAGCCAGCATGCATGGAGCCACCTTCTTTTAGGGGTTTAAGGCTGTTCAACCTGGGAACTGAGCCGAGCTACTCTTACAGGACTGTCCTGATACAGCCAGGGTAGATCTGTTCCTATGACTAATACAAACTCAGGCACGAGTCCCTTGGCACTCAGCCTAGTTGTCTCCACTACAGCTGGCGAGAATGGCCTTGGAGAGCTCTGGATGTCACACAAGAAGGCTTTGTAACTTACAGAACTGAGCCTTTGATACTCTTTGTTAGTGCAAGTGCAGGTTGAAGTTTCTTGTCTTGGTCTTGAAAATAGAACCAACCATGCAGAAGTACCATGTCTACAGAAAAAGAAAAAAAAAAAAAAAAAAAAAAAAAGGAAAAAAGATGGGAAAAGGCTTATTTTACAAAGGAAAAAAACTCCTTTAATTTTTATCCCTGAATGATGCAGTTGATGCAGTTGCACATTGTGCTTAGGAAGTGTTGCCTGGCATTGCAGTCTCCCATAGGGCCAGTAGATACAGTTTTACATTTAATGGGGATTTCACATGATATGGAACATGATTTGGAACTTGGTATAGGTTACTCCAAAGGCCTGTGTTTGCAGGAAACTGAAATGCACAGGGCATCAGCTAGAATGGGAGACTCATAGTTAAGTGAGGATCTCCTTCTTTATCTTACAAATGTAAGCCTGAATGTCTGTCACCAGTCATGATAGCTGAGACTATCTGAAACAAGTTGTTTTGTTTCTTTTCATGGAGCATCTTGTATATTCCATATGAAGAGGTCTGTTTTTTATTTCCTTTTCTTTGTTAACTGTTCAGAATTAATCCATAAAATTTAATCTTATCACTGTAGAGTGTCATTGTACAAAGAATATTCAAATTTTCTATTGTAATGAAAATTTTGCTTTATAAATACAAAAAAACCGAGAGAATACATCATCTAATTTCTGCAGATTCATGTCAGTTTCACTTACACTAAAATCTATGAGGTTTGCTACACTGTTTATTCTCCATTGCTGAACAAGATTTTTCCCATGAACTTTGAAAATGTGAACTCATATTTTTCCTGCAGCAGTTTTCAAATAATTTTAGGCTTTTCAAGTAGTTTTATGTGACAGTAAATAATGTGTATTAACTTTGAAACCTAGAATTATGATGCTGGGTGGAGGCGAGTGGGACTGAAGGTTTTTCAATTAAACTATGCCTTTTTTTGACATGACAGCAACCTCTAGTCCTACCTAGGTTAGTGGAAGATTTTCTGTGGGATTAATGGAAATTTTCAGAGTGCAGAAACTCTGAATAGCTTCATTCCCGTTGGACAAACTTTTCATCTCCCACCTCAACAACTTCAGGTCTCAAGTGTAGAAAGTCTGCTAGCTGACTACATCATGTTCAAAGTGAGCAATATTTGTAACAGGACTGTCTAGTGGAGGGACCACAGTTTTTCACTCTAATGGACCATTATGCAAACAGTGACTGGTGGCCAGCAGCAG